GAAAGTTGAGAATTACGGACAGAATTCTGACTTCTGACTCGGCTCTGATTTAGAAGAAATGAACTTTTTCAGCAACAGAAAGGAATTTCGAAAAAAGGATAATTAACTTTTATCAGCGCGACGTGACGAATCTAACCATGACAAAATATTATATCACCCATTTGGAGCAAGTACACGATCACCAACATTTGTTTGACCGCTACAAAAAAAGAAATTGTGACTGAATCTAAATCTAGATCCATTGTTTCGTAATTCAGTTAGGTATTCGATGATCGTTGATTCACAATAGCGTCGATTTCATCAAAAAATATAATGGCGGGTGAAGCTGGACGACACGACTACGACGAAATATTTCACGTATGGCACGTTCAGATTCGCCAACCCATTTACTGAACATAAAAGTTTAAAACTGAGCAGTTTCAGAAACAAAAGATATAAATAAGATAAGTAAATTTTGTAACTCACTCAAAATACATCAGAGCCAGTTGAAAAATTTAGAATATGGTGAATTTTGCCCACTAAAGGTCATTATGGAAGCGACAAATTTGAAAAAACAATATTTGTTCAATGGGTTTCTGGAAATCTTTGCAGGAAACTGCAGAGTTCTCTATATTCTTTTCTGTAGATTGCTTAGAATATAAAGGATTGTCCATCCGAATGAACAGTGACCTTGGTTATTTTTTAAATAACTTTTGATAGTAAAATGACAGAATTTGGAAACTAGACACTTGACGCTACGTTTCCGTATGCAACATCGATATTTGAAAAGTTTTCCGAAGCCGGCTTCTCAACCAAATTGCATGAAATCTGAGCATAAGAGTAGATGTTCTATTCGATCTAACGATCAGAACTACCAGAAATAAAGCGGATCTTAAACTGGTTTCTGAGAAAACCTCTGTAGGTTTACAGGTGAATCTCAGTATGAGAAATAATTTTAAAGTTCTTGACTATACAGCAGGCGAATTGCCCGTGCTCTAAAGTATACATTCATAACAAAAGATAATTCTTAAAGCTCGCCAAAATAGGTGAAAAAACTGTCTTTCTAGACTTGATCGGAAGGGCCGATTTGCAGCGCCATCTCTGTCCTCTCTGTAATTCGAGAATCAATGAGTTTTGAATGACACCTTTAAAATGATTATCTAGTTACATACAGACCTACAACTGGTATAAACCCCATTTAAATCTGTTACATTAACAATCACTGTCTACGGGTAATTGTCTGATTCTCGCAGATAACGGCTCTTAATTAACTGAGCACTAAAAATTCGTATTCTGATTTTCATCTTTTGGATGGGGGATCCCTGCACTGTCCCGAAAAGGCAAACTTTTAGAAAAATCACCCTTAAATTGTGCCAATGATATGGAAAAAGTGTACCGAAAGTATGCTTTTTATGTGCTGCGGGCATACTTTTGCTGTGGTAGTGACGCATTTATAGCGTGTTTTTGGCACACTGCGGTAACATTCTTGGACACTTTTTCTGTGCCACTTCTAAAAGTGTGTCATCGGCACACTTTTCGTGCGCTAAAAGCATACCGAATGACAAACTTTTAGAAGTGGCACAGAAAAAGCGTCCAAAAATGTTACCGTAGTGTGCCAAAAACACTCTAGAAATACGTCACTAGCACAGCAAAAGTATACCAGCAGCACATAAAAAGCATACTTTCGGTACACTTTTTCCATGTCATTGGCACCAGAGATGGGCGAGTCGCATTTTTCTATGACTCAGACTCGAACTCGGACTCGGGGTGAAAGACTCGATAAACTTGATAAACTGACTCGAGTCACTTTCGAGTCAGTCATGTGCAACTTGGAGTTGTTATTATGGTATTTATTATATTTGTTGTAAACCAGAAGAGAGAGAGATTTGAAATATTCTTGAAATATTGAGAATATTCTAAGTAGAACATTGCGTCACATGAGAGGATTGAAGATCTGTTCTTGGAAAAATGAATCAGGAGGAAGTTTTCCTCTAGAAAATGACTCGAGTCAATTTTTGATGCGACTCAGACTCGGACCTCGACTCGAAGGCTACGGACTCGGACTCGACTCAGACTCGAAAAAGTAGTGACTCGCCCATCTCTGATTGGCACAATTTAAGTGTGCTTTTTCCAGAAGTATGCCTTTTCGAGACGGTGTGGATGTGACGGTTAATTCAACTTATTCCAAGAATGTATAACGTTTACCATTATCAAAACATAATGAATAATTTCGAGTTAATTCAACAGTTTCATTTAACTGCATACAATATTTAACCGTTGCGCCGTCGCTTTTATAATATAAACAGTCGTATTGTTGAACAGAATTTCTGTTGTCTGTATGGTACAGTAAAAGGTATGCCCGAGATGCGTCGAATAATAAAAATCCATAAAAAGGTGCCGGGAAACAGGATGTTCAAATACTAGTTTTTTCCTTGTTAATTGTGCACGTATTTTCTTAACGCATAGAGTTGTAGAGCAAACTTTTATCGTCTAAATAACGCGCATCACCGCTCTGTGCGGCTTTATGCTAAAAAGTTAAAAGCATTGTCTATAAGTCCCAAAAGTCAGTTCAGTTCAGTTTATTTTGAGAAACAGTCATGAGTATACAATAGCACAAGTGTAAAAAACACAGCTAATATAGAAATGTAAGGTGAGTGACGGATTTTGCCGGGCACCCATATAAAGCGATTGTATAACGGGGAAAAGAGAAAAGATTTGAGCCCTTCTTTCCAAGAGTGGTCAATACTTACTCACCTCTAAATTTGTTAGCATAGTTTTCTGCAAAAATAATGTAATTTCAAGTTGGGAGGAAAAATTGTATTTTTCCTGAACAGGTAATTACTGTTTTTTCTTTGATTAATACAGGTTAATTAGAATAGTTTCGAACTTAACAAGCTATCACATCTTGTAGAGCAACCAATTTTCTACAAACTGGTATACTTGTTGAATTTTTGCCTGCTCGCCTTCAGCCTTTTAGACACGTTTTTCAGATAGCTCCAAAATCGATTTTTGGGGCTGTTTGTATGACAGTTGTATTTTCATAACTAATCAACATTCAGAGCCAAGACACTTTTCATTTTGTAGAGAAATGTTTAATGTACTTAATTATGTAGTTGCAGTTTTAGATTAGTTTGTAGCTTTACTGCAATAATCTTTTGAAAAAGAGCAAAAAAAGGATACCGTTAGCTGGACAAGCCGCGAGATTACTACAATAGCAGCCAGAGATGTCATTTTTCACATAGTTTTTGTGCTAATTTTGTTTTGTAAAATTCTTCTTTGTACGCCGTTGATGGTAAAACGAAGAGAATAAAACCGAGTATTTGGGATGAATATGATAGAAAATATGTACTTAGAAGAGAATAACGTTGCCATGGTTCACTCAGTTCTTTACACGGGTAGGTGAAGGCTAAAATAGCTTGTGATAAGACATTCAAAACAATAATACTAGGTGTTAAAAACGATTCTTTGTTGGCATTTAATTGTTTCATTATTAATTCTCGCTCCGTTTGGTCTTTATTTGTTTTTGCTCTATTACGAGCAGTAATAATAATTAGAATTGTAACAGCAATTATTTGAATTGTACAAGGTGCGAGATAATGAAACATTACAGTGGCCCGATTGTACACTGACCATTGATGCGGTGTATAGATAGTAACACACAGCGTAACCGATGAGTATTTTGGATCATCGATAACCGCATAGAAAAATAATTCATGTATGTGAAAAACAAATAATACAAGAATAATGATCGTTCATAAGATAAAGCGGATTTTGGCAGCTTCATTGATAATTTTGTTGGATAAACAACTAATCCTAGACGATGTATGGTAATGCGACTGATTAACCAATAATTAATTCGAGTTAGTACTGACAGTAAATAATAAAGAATTTTACATATCCATAAATTCAACAGATTATTGACAAGAATACCATTTGAACTTAGAATAATGTGAATTATTTTAATCAGTAATGTGAGTAATGAACATTGATTTAAAACGGTTACAATTAACAAATAATTACCAACAGCATATTCTCTCGGTTTTGGTCATTTAAATGTTAGAAAGCTACATAGATTATTGATCAGCCCAAGCAAAAACACTAGTGATGACACAAAAACGTAAATGCAGATTGATATCTCTTTCTTGTCACGAACTACATCTCTAATGATAAGTGAGTCGAGAGTGGAACTGAATGCTTCTGTGCTGTATTGACACGTGTCACCATCATGGCACCGACGGCAAATGCATGAAAAATCTGAGAGGCTTTTCAGTTGCCCTTGAACACAGCGTCCTTGTGATAGACAATGATCACATCGATCAGCTCTTGAATCATACCGCAAACATTCAACACGGTGAAAATCTTGTTGACATACACAAAAATAGTAATTAATCATCATGAAAACAAATAGCCAATCGATTTTGACAGAGTTGATGATATTTGGAAACAGATGTTGTTATTAAATTAGATCCATATTCTAAAGTTGAAAAACATCAGACGAGTCTTGCTAATCTAGTTGACTAACCTGATAATTCATATGATAGACGTGTGTGAGGACAATAGTTTTCTTTTGACAAATCACTTGTTATGTCGACAACTGTTGCATTCTCTAACATATAACAGATACACAAACGGATCATCCTCTCCTTTATATAAACTCATTATGCCCAGTAACGGTGGATGCAGTTGATCATGATCAAAGTTTGAAATTGTTGGTATTCTGTTATAGACTTGCTAGATAATCAGATCAAATGCTGATTATCTAGCCCGTAGTTTGATCTTGGACCAGATATGTCTGTTTGCCAAGAAGTTTGATAATTACCATTGGCCCATTTCGTCTGTTGTCTAACTTCTTTCTGTTCGTACATACTGTCACGTAGACAAGGTCACCCACATTGTAAGTAGGGTCCTTGCGATTGATGTCGAATCGACTTTTCGCGATACGCTGTTGATGCTGTATGTTGAATCGAGCTTGTTGGACAAGAATCTTGCGAGTGCGTTCCAGTCGCTTGTAGAAATCATCGGCTCGTGCTAACTTGACAACAGGTGAGACGAGATCCATTGGGTCTTTGAGCTTTCGACAGAAGGCAAGTTCGTAAGGTGTGAAGCCCGTAGTAGAGTGAATACCACTGTTGTAGGC